TAGATGATGATGATGGTATTAAACATTTATAAACATACTAATAATGTATTTTGTAGATAAGTCATTTTATGCCCTTTTTACAACTAAGCTTTTATTTTTAAAATTGAGTCTGAAGTTTATGTGAATATCAATGGGTTTAAGAGGTTTTTACAAAGTTCCTTTCAAATAATTTAAGATTTCAATTTCTTTAGAAAATATTCTTGATTTATTTACATTTAACTTTTATGACTTTTAGTTACATAAATATCATTGACATTTATATAATTGATATTTTCTTTTAAAAGCTTACACAATGATTTTTTAGGTATTTTGATAGTCCTACCTGCAAATACTTTTATTTTTCAATATTACACATTCCCTCTCTGTCTTTAACATTCATTGACAGTTTATATCTTATTATAGATTCTAAGATCATGGCAGTATATTAGGAAAAGTTCCTGTCCCGTTAACCTTACATTTTAGTGGAATAAAGAGGACAATAGACAACTAATAAGCATGTACTCTGAACAGATGCTATGATCAAATAGTTAGATGTTCAGCCAGATGAACCTTTGTATAAAGTTAAATACCAATCAGAGGGATGACAGTCGTGGTGACAGAAGTAACTATTTCATTATTACATTCTAACAAAATGTTATTACTGGCATGAGAGAAATCTAAAATTATCACCAACTGCAATAGAATAACACTATATAAAGTGAGGTATGAACTAAAAGATGGATATTGAAAGCTTTATGTTGGTAGAGCAGAGAAAAGTGAAGTAGCTGCATACAATTGATTCCAGAACACTAGGTTTCAGAAGGGTTATGATCTGGAGTTACTACATTTCATTAAAAAAAAAAGATTTCAGACTGGGGGAAAAAATAAAAAAAGAAACTAGGCATAAGTTCACAATGATTTGTCAAAATAAGTATTCTTATTAGTGTTAAGATTTTTTAAAAGCAGATGTCACATCTCATGTCAAAACAGCACACATTTAAACAAACAAAAAGAGATCCCAAGTTTGATTCTCAAATGATTATGCATAAGAATTGTCAAAATGAATACAAAAAGACAAAAACTTTCAGTAAATGTATGAGCAATTAAAATCCAAATCCATATCTGAAAACTACATGCTAGTTAGGTTTTTCAGGTTTTGTAAAGTCAGAAGACTTTACCGTAACAAGCTGGTTTCTGTCTATGAATTTATTTAGAAAGATAAAAATATCTGAGGAACCTATGTCTGTAATATGTGTAACATCACTTTAGTAAAAAAGCAAGTATATATTCTATTCTGTAGAAAGTCACATATATAGCTAGAAGAGCAAACGCAAATATGTATTCTGTAGGAAGTCATATATATAGCACTACAAAACCATCTTTAAAATTAAGGAATACTTCTGAAGAATTACTTAGCCATTTAACTAGCACACAATTTCAAATAGAATGTTTCCTGAAATACATATACAGTCATGCAGATGAAGTAATCTACTCTATGGATAAGGGAGTTAGCAGATCTGGATTTTTGCATTTAAGTGTATAGTTCAGTAACATTTATTATACTGATTTAAAAGACATTAGTTTAATCACTTCTTGGATACCATCAAAAGATATTAATTACTTCAAAACTACTGCTTCCTCTCAAAAATAAATAAAACATACAAAATTAGAAAATCAGAATGCTATTAAAAATTATAGAACAATATTTATTGAACATCAGTTTATCTAAAAGTTTTATAGTCATTCACTCAATCCTTGCATCTATTTATGCTAACGTTCCTATATTACAGGCAAGAAAACTGGGATACATAGACTGCAGAACTCATGTTGCTGAGATATATATACTCATAATAGTAGATTTCCAAAGTTCACATCCTAGTCACAAAACACTAATAAAAGTGCTTTGCAAGGCAGTTGGCTATAAAATAAATGCACACAAAAGTATCCTATAGATCAGTGAAAATAAATAGGAAAAATGAATGTAATGACAACAGTAACTATAAAACTCAATCATTAGAAAGTATAAAGAGCAATAGAACTAAAGACAGATTTTCTTCTAAATGGCTGTCAGTACTATAATGAGATGCAATAGTCAGAAACATTGTTATACAAAAAAGGATGTGGAAGACAATCTAACATGTGTATTCTACAAAGCTAAAATTAATAGCGATTCAAAACAAACTGCTGTTGTTTACACACAATCAGTACAATCAATCTGTTAAGTTTAACATCATACCCAAAACACTAATGTATATTAAAAGGAATATTTCAGTTATCCATAAATGAATTGCCTAATTCAGAATAGGCAATAATTGCCTGCAGATTGAATCCAGCATACTCCCTATTTTTCTAGGGTATGTGAACTGAGTGGTTTTTACATTATAAAGTTATGTACTCAATTTTGCTTCTTACTCCACAAAGCCCATTTACCATCTGATCCTTTAAACGAATGTTTTCTGACCCAGGATCTAATTAAAGCATAAAAAGTACTGGGGAAAATGGTTAACTTCACAAAAGAAAAAATATATGGCACCTCATAATTCACACTTTAAAATAAAACATATTTCTGATGGATTTAAGTTATGAGGAATAAAACATAAAAGAAGGTATTGGAAAAAGTTTTTCCAATCATGATTTCAAAAACTGAAAACATTAAAAAAATCTTCACCAAGAAATGATAAATGTTTGAGGAGATATGTTTAATCTGATTTAACATATAATGTATACATGCACCAAAATGTTAGTTTATACTAGTAATACATACAATTTTTATATATTTCTATGTATCAGTTTAAAATAACAGCAATTAAAATTTTACAAACTAAAACGTTGAAAGGTCATATTTAATAAGAATGATAAATATTTGTATACTATTATACTATTAAATGCCATAAACTAAATTCAAGGTGAATGACAAGAGGTTATAACCTTAATGCATGGAGAATATGAACAAATGAGACTCCTGATGTTATAGAAACATTAAATGGCATAAAAAACGGGTAATCGGGGCTAGGGATTTAGCTCAGAGGCATAAGTGCCTGCCTGGCAAGCACAAAGTTGTAAGTTCGATCCTAGTACCCAAAACACACCACCAACAACAAAAGGGGTAACCAACCATGGAAAAAAAATACAAATGGTCAATAACTATATGGAAAAGACGTAACATTTTGTGTATATTTGAAATTAGCATTTTTAATATATATAATAAACTTCTGTCTAGTGCTGATATTATATTTGAAGGTGCAGAGTAAAAACTGTTGTTAGTTTCAAAAATTTAAACCATAATATTTTAAAATTAAAAGTATTCAATAAAAACAAAAATTTTAGTAGTCAATTATTTCTGATAAGATTAATTTTTTGCACATGGTATTTTATTTTAGAAAGTAATAGCAACTGCAGTAATTAAAATATAATTACTATTTTATCACCATTTTTAAGGGTAAAGAAACTAATGATCCAAGTTGTTTTTCTAAAGTAGACCCAAATAAGTAAATGTATCACTTTGGGGCCCAAAACCTTAAGTTGTATGTCATATTACACCTTAAGTTTTAAAAAAGCTTTAGGAAGTAAATCATTCTGTCAGTTCTGTGACAACTAGATTGGAAAGGTAACCAAGACATATGAATATGGGTTTGAATATATAGACCAACTGATTTAAAAACTCCAATATATGTATAGTATTTCTGCTTTTCTAGAAGACAGATCTTGGCATTCATTTCCCACACATGCAATGTTTCAGAATTCAGTTTTAAGTATCTTCCTATTTAAATAACTGCTTTTAATCAAACCATGGTTATTTCACTACCACTTTTGTATCAAATTTCACTTTCACAGTATAATCACAGTAATACACAGATATTTTACTTTTATAATTTTGGCAATGATACTACCAAATACATATCCTCAATTATTTAATCTATAAAATCAATACTTAAAGACAGAAATCAGTAGATAATTCAAATAAATTTACAGTAAATAGCAAATAGCTAGAAAGGCAAGTAAGAAAACAAAATTAAATGACATTAAGGTATACTATAACTTATTAAGGCTTATATTTAAAACTTATATACTTTAAAAGTAGCTCTAATAATAAAACAATTGATAGTTTACATCAAAATGATACAATATTCATAAAATCAGACAAAAGAAAAACAGAAAAATGAGAAAACAAAAAATTAAATTTCTAACAAAGGTAGGTCAACTTAATTTGTGAAATTTTAAAAAGACAATGGAAATGATTTACTAATAGTTAACTTTCAAGAAAAATGAGCGCATTTGTTACATACCTTAGAACATTATCATTTCTTTAGTATGAATCTCATTAGATTAAACAGCTAGAGGAAATTGTTATGTGGATAGGAAAATTAGGAATAGCAAAGTTCATAAAGTTTGAAAGTAGGAAAATGGACAGGTACAACGTAGGAGAATATGCAATTGGTTTAACCACAGGGTATAAAATATAATCTACAGGAGCTTAATAAAACTTGAATTGAATTTACTTAAAAATGCTTTATAAATATTCTAATTATAACTTGGCTATATTCTAAACTTTTATGACAAATCAGTTATTGAACATACAATTTATTCTTCTACCACATTTTAAATATAGTTTTTCAACTTTTTTGTTTACTGTCTTACGACAACTACAAAGAAAGTCTCCACCTAAGGTCTACAATTACAGCCAGATTATGCAATAAAAAGAAAACTGTTCTGAAACTTGCCATTGTAAGTTTGCACAAATCTGTTCTTTATGTTACAAATACATTTAATATAAAACTTACTACTCATGGTAATTAACAAAAAATACAGATAACTTGTGACCTTCCTAGCACAGTATTAACTAATTTAAAATACATTTCCCATTAGAACGTAACTTCTTTGTCTCTAACCTAGGACCTACTGCTATGTCTAACACACAGTCATGAGCAACAGACATTATCCTGTGGTTCATATACTACTTTTCAGGAAGGAGAAACAGATAGATATTACTGAGTAAATGCCAATGTAATTGATCAACTTACATCTTTTTCTGACCGATGTGGAAACATAGAAGACTGGCTGTAGTACATGTTTTCATCATGGTAGTCACTGTCGACCCCCTCTACAAACTTCTTTCTTGAAGCACCAAACATGCTGTTTGTCACCTAAACAAAAATATTACTTTATCAAGAAGAATATTTTGAAAAATGTTCAGCTGTACCTTACTGCTATATGAAAACAGAAAAAAGGAAGCACCACTAAGTGTCAGAACTAGATCAACTAAGGGGTAAAAGTCATGAATCTATCTACAGTGATATAAGATTAGTTGTTTATTTCTGAGTCCTAAAAGAAGCAAATCTTACAGACTATTTTATGCAACAGTCTTACTTATTTCTAAGGAACTAAGTTATCATTTAGTCTTGAAAACGATAACCTCACAATTTTTTGATGCACAAATTTAAAAAAGTTTGCATTCAATCAGTAAACATCTTGACATGTTTCACTATCATCATCACTATACTACTTTAAAAATTGTTTTTCAAAACATTTTATCTTTATTAAATTTATTGAGATTCCAAATTTGGTATGTTTTTGTATAGCCATTATGATTAAGGATATGTTTTCTATTGTAAGTAAAAATGTACAATTTCTTTTATGTCTCATTTCAAAATAGGATACTGTAATCACCAGTATTTACCAATGGACAGACTTTATAGACCGTAATGGCCAAATTTTACATGCCAACTTTGCTGAAAGTACCCATGCTATTTAAAAATTGCTTTCTATCATAAATTCCCTGGTAAATTTATAGGAAATTAATTTATGCTTCTTAATGAGACATGAGATAAGGTTTCTCAAGCAGATAATGACAGATAAGTTAACCATTATTTTGCTGTATATATTAGTTTTTGGGCAGTGGACTCCATGATGAATTTCATATGATCTACTGTCTAATATTAAATGTGAGTTCATACTAGGATACTATGTGCCTATTCACCAACCTCCTGTGTACTTCTTAGCAGTGGGGGCAGGATGGTAGTGATGGTATTGGGTTTTTATAGTGAATTCAATTTCAGAAAAACAACAGTAGGAAAAAAATCACTTTAAAATGTACAAATTAAAACAGTATCTATGAGATTATAAAAGTCTGTTTTGCAAACATTAAGAACACACTTAATTCTCTTTACAGCACCTTAGAATTTATAGCTTTAAGTGCTAAGAAACAATAAAGTTCAAAAAATGACATTAAAATTACATAATTCAATAAATTTTCAGGTGAATATCTGGGCATCTCACATCAGATTTTACATATATAAATTAACTCAAATGGATGTAAAGCAAACTCTTCTATTAACAATGGTTGTAAAACATGCATCAGTAAAACTCATTACAGATTCCTAGAATTCCAAATCTAAAATCTGCATAGAATAAATAATTTCTTGCTTAAATATCATGCAAGATAAAAATGACTCCAACAAACACAAGTTCTTCTTCCACTTATCCCAGACGCTTAAAAGTATGGAGGGAAATGGGAAGAGGAAGAAATAGAAAGAAAATGCAGGAATTCACATTGATTCATGTACTCTGATATGGTAATACTTTACCAGTGAGAATTCTTATACAGCTTCAGCAAAAAAAAGACAGGTAAAAAGAGAATATTCTGCTCATCAAATATGAGCAGAATCTATCTAAGATGGTGCAGGAATGAGAAAAAGAATTCTGATCCTGAGAAGAGGAGGGAGATGGAAAAGGAAAACAAAATTTTCATGAAGCTGGCTTTGTTTTTTACTGTACATAGAACTATGGAACAGAGTAGGAAGATATTTTAGAATAGTCAGGGATGGTGAAATTGGAAAGAAAAGAAGCACAAATATAAATGAACCAACCAGGCAAATACCTGGAGGAAGAACAATTCCTACAGAGGGAGTCAGCAAGATCATTTGTGGTGAAATTCAAATAGCATGAATTAAGCAGCAAATGTTAGAAATTTAAGTCAGAGATACAATACTGGTAAGGCCCAGAATACGCAGTACCTTGCAACCCTGAAGGACTATGGTCTATCTTCGGTGTAAGATGGGAAATGAAGACAGTCATTTGGAAGAAATTTAAAAATGACATAATTTGGTATATAGTTTTAAAAACCGATTCTAGTTCATCACAAGAGATGGACTAAGGAGATAATTACAATGGAAGCAGAAAAATGGGTAAAGAGGGTGATAGATGTAACACAGCTTGGAAGAGAGGCCATAGAAGAGGTAGTGAGAAGTGGCTGCATACAGGACACACTTTGAAGGGTTGATAGGATGGAATAAATCAATGCATAATGGTGGTAGTACATAAAAGTATTCACACTTTCCTTCTTGTGGAGAATAAAGTTAGAGTAACTTAAAATCAATTTTGATCAATTTCAAAGAGGATATGTCAATATTATTTTAAATCAGTGGTTATGCCATGTACATTAAACTCAATTTGAACCCACAGAAATTTTTTAAACTAGGTAAAATTAAATTATACTTCCTCTCACATTTTGGTGCTATCATCTGTTTCTTCTTTGTAAAAGTGAATCCTTTTTGTCTGAGTAACTACTTTGAAGATAACGAAGCAGAGTATATTAATTATTTTTCTTAGTTTGTTATGAGATTTTATCATAAAATAAAAAGGCTTAAAAATTTTTGTTGTGGGGCCGGGCATTTAGCTCAGCGACAAAAGTGCCTGCCTTTCAAGCAGGCAGTCGTGAGTTTGATCCCCGGTACCGATAAAAAGGAAAAAGACAAAAAAAAAAAAAAAAAAAAAAAAAATTTGTTGCTCTAGTATGTATAATTTGTTGGCTTTTTCAAGCAAACATCCTATCAAAGGCTTACAAATACTTTTGTTACATTAACCACCTCTTAATCTCACACCTGATTTTTAAGAACAAGCAGAGATTAGGATTTTTCTAAAAAAGAATGATAAATATATATACTCAAAGTATATATATTTTGTTTCTTTTTTCAGTACAGATCTAAAATATTCAATCAACAAATATATCTACAAGAACCAAGCAGCATCTTCTAAAAAGTAATTAAACAAGTGCACTTACATTAATTTTATCAATCCTACTCCAGAATGAGTAGCCTCAAAAATAGTAAAGAGAGGGGCTGGGGATTTAGCTCAGTGGCATAAGCACCTGCCTTGCAAGCAGGCGGTCATGAGTTCGATCCCCGGTACCGATAAAAATGAAAAAGACAAAAAAAAAAAAAAAAATAGTAAAGAGAGAATTAGGCTAGGAAGCATTAAATTGACTGATATTACCCAGTTTACTTTTTTATCATTATTTAGTTTGGACTAGCAATAAATTCTCATGTCATAACAGTGTCAGAATAACTGCAGGAAAAGAATCTGCAAAACTTCCAAAAGAGAGACTCTAATCGACTTCGGAGATAGTGAAGTAGCCCTTGATACAGAAACATGAAGGTAGGACCTGCAGCTTTTTAAATGATCAAGGAAATAAAAGTAGGATATCTTTTAAATGTAACTTGAAAATACATGTATGTATAAATATCACCATGAAAGGGTGAAAAATACAGATTTTATCCAAGGCAGACAATATTTAATCAAACACAAATATACTTCAGAGAACTGTAGAGATCGTTTGCTGAAAATTTTTATTATCTAGAACCCTGTCAAATGCTATGCTAGGAATCCTAGATATGGAATGTTAAACATGGAATTCTACTCTACAAACACATCCCATGGCACAGTGGTGGCGTCCTGATAGCACATACAGACTAACTTCAAAAGCTTTCTCCATTTCTTAACTCAAGGTTCTAGTAGCATATTGTTAAGAGTTGCCTAACATTTCCTCTTGGAAAACACAACATAACAAACTAAAATTTGAAATTAATTTGCTGAGTTATTTTCCTCTACACATCCATCAAGTTACATGCTTTTTTCACAGTGGCTTTTACATTTGTCTTTTTTTGTCATTCTTCCTATCCTCACCTTAGTTTAAACTATGGACTAGGTGTTTTTTGTTTTAAGCTTAATAACTAATCTCCTCTTACATTTCAGCAAACACTGCTGAACGTTTATTACATGAGTTATGCAAAAAACTTTGCTAAACATATGCTGAATAAATAATAAATCCAGTGTTGAAAAAGCTCATTGTCTAGGGAAGAGACAAACATGTAATTAACAATTACAATACGAAAATTTTGTACAGTCCCAAATAAGTACCCAAATAAGGAAAACATCTAACTTGAGGGAAACAATGAAAAGTTCTATTATAAAAGAAGTAATGTCTGGACAAAAGAAGAGAAGGAGGAGAAAGGGCAGGAAAAGCAGTGAGGAAAGGAAGGTGGGGAGAAAGAGAGGAAAGCAATGTGTGAAATAGAAGGGAGCAAACTGGCATAAGAGAAAGCATACGCAAGGCTTCATAAATGAGAGAAGGCCTAGGAAACAAGAAAACTTCCAATGTGCCCAACCAAAAGGATGAATGGGACAACAGTGCTGGATGAGCAAAAGCAAGTATGGACTGCAGGGCTAGGCTAGGAGAAGAAGCACATAGGCAGGGAAAGCAGGTACAAAAAACTTTCCTCTATTAAAATTTTATTGCAATTCTGTGATCTTCAACAACTAACCTAAGCTAATCAAACTCTTAAATATTAGTCACACGAATATCTTTCCATCTCTATTGTCATTTATTAGCACAAAATACTTCAGCCACCAATATTAACCTATGCTTTTTCCCTTTAGATCCATTCCCCCTCATCATTCAACATAATTTATTAGGTAAAAATTTCTTTACTTTGTGGATGTGCTGATCAAAATTATTCAACAGCACTACCAAATCAGTAAATCTAACACGGTCCTATGTAATTGCTCTGACTTCTCTATTCACAGATGTCCCTATTCCTAGCAGTAAACTCCTGCCACACTTTCAGTTACTCAAACAAGTCCTCCCTTCCCTGCCTCAAGGCCTTTCTACATGCTGATACAGTTCCTCTAAGTATCTTTTTTCTCACTTTACTCTGAAACTTTCATAATGAGTTAAACCTTCTATGTGCATAATCACTAAAAATACTCTATCATACTTACAGCTATACAATAATTATTGGTCATGCACCAAGCAATATTTGAAATGTTTTAATCACCTAACAGTTTAACTCAAGCATCATTCAGGTAGTGTGTTTATGTACTGACTATATCTAGCATGGTGAGAGCAAGTGTCATTTCAACTGGTCAACTCCTGAACTGAGTAAGTTTGATGAAGTTGTCATTTTTATATTTTCTTTTTTACTTTCTTATAACAGTTAACTTTTAAAAATATGCAATTTTTGGTCATCCTATAGTAATTAGACTGGTAAGTGGTTGAAATTTGTCTATGTAATATCATACTGCTGTGAATTCAAAACAATTAATTGTCCTTGAGAAAGCTGAGGGCCATAGAAATTAGGGAACTTGCCCAAGGTTATGTATCTGATAAGTACTCACATGGGTATTGATCCCAGATGATCTATTAGAGTACTCTCTTTCAAACATTACAGTACACTGACAAACATACAACTTATAACTTAATCTGTGTTTTTTTCTGTGTGAAAAGTAGAAAAGATGAAAAAGTCCTTATTTTGTGGTAAACAATGGGAAGTATTTTATGTCATAATCAAATATTTTTGTGTAAAAAACATATTAGCAGAAGAAAGAGAATGTACTGACTACAGAAATGAAAAAAGAGCCAGCCTGTACAAGATTGGTTATTCCTATTTTAGAAAAAGTTAACTTTAGAACAAGACTGTGCTTTAAAAAATTATGTCAATTAAAAATTATTTATCAATGACTCAATCTGAGTAACACTTTGGCCATGCTTTTAAGATTAGGATATACAGTATATCAGCTATCGTTTATTCTATTTTGCTATGCAATTTTATTTTTTTATAGAAAAGTGTTTTTTATATTTTCTTTATAAACATCTACTTGTATTACATGAAAACAAGGTTGCAAGCCTATCACATGAAAGACCTTGGGTTAAAAAAAAAAAAAAAAAAAAAAAAAGAAAGACCTTGGGTTCAATTCCTGACAAGACAGAGAGAGAGACACACACATAGAAAGAAAGAGAGACAGACAGAGTGAGGGAGAGGGAGAAGGAGAGAAAGAAAGATTAACCAATGCAAGCCATCAGGTTAAAACCTACTTAAAAACTATACATGACATTTTTCCACATATCAAATGAACATTTCTAAGGATTTCCTAAATACAGTGAACATAATTTAATCCTCCAAGGAATTAGGATGATAACAACCAAATTCTTCTACATTTCATTATAAAGCCAGTACCAGAGACAATGCAGCGTTAAACAGGCCTGATATGTCTAGAAACTAGATTTTTTCAGAAAGGGCAAATCCCCAATAACTTTTGGGTTTTTTTTGGATTATCTAACAGAGAGAGGAGTTCTAGTGATGACACACTGTTAAAGTATCCCATTATAAAATTATATCAAAAAACATTAAAAATATCTGTACTAAGACTTTTCACCACTTCAGAGGCAACAAATTTCCTTTCTTGGCTAGAGTTTGTATTCTGAAGAACAGTGTGCCAACTACAGGTCAGACAGTGCTGAGAAGCAGAAAAAACACTGTCCCTTTCTTATAGTTTTCCTAGTGGAAATTTTAATAATTTGCCCTGTTTGCTAAAACAGATTTTATTTTAACTTATAACTTTCCTTCCCAACTCCATTTTCAATACCAACAGACATTTCATAAACATATATGCATAATTTTTCACTTATCTACAAAGTAGGTAGAAACTAATAAAGCTTATGCTCCAGTATACTTAATATTTATTTGACTTTACCAAGAAGTAATAATCATGAGAAGTCATAATATTTAAAGATAATCTAGTATTTTTACAAACGCCCTTTAGAAGGGAAAATAGGATAAGCAATCTACAGAACTAGAATATGTCTGTATCAGTTTATTGCTACAACTTGAAAATACTAAAGCCCAAGAAGTTTTGAGCTCCTTATCCTAATCTAAAAACCATTATAATTTTAAATTTAATTACTCAAAAAGACTTTAAGAAAAAAAAAAAAAAGCACACGAAAGAGATTAAAAAAAAAATTCTACCTTCTCAAAGAACAAAGATTTTAATTACTGAAAACCTTTGGAAAAGAACAACTGCCAGCACTTGGGAAGCTGAGATAGGAGGATTGCCATGAGTTTGAGGCCAGCCTGAGCTACACAGTACAATGAAGTCCAGCCTGTACTACATAGCAAGGCTTTGTCTCAAAACAAACAAACAAACAAACAAATAAAAGAATGATCTCTTTTTGTATAAGAAACATATTACCCTAATTCCTCCTGGTTCTAGATTACTCTGGGGCTTGGTATTTCTCATATGATAAACGTTCATGAGTTTGCCTACAATGGTTCAAAAAAACTAAACGTTTAGATTTTAAAATGTAAAATTTTAAATCATCAAATCAAGAGCATAAAAATAAAAGCAACTCCTATAGTAGTTTTGGAAAATACAGACTATCCAACAAATATTCAATAAAAGCCTTAATGAATATTGAAGGAAGCTAACAGGTAGAGATGTACAAGAACCATGACTTCAGTTAAAAGGTTTTGTAGCAAAAAACTAGGGCCTATACAAACATTTGCATAATCATTATTTTTGGTAAGCAGCCTGGCACAGAGTCTTTCCCACGGATTACAGATATGTTTTGTGTATTTCTGGAGAGCTCATTTTTAACGTTCTCCCTCCCAGAAATCTCAAATCAAAACAATGAAAAAACCCTAAAATTGTATAGATCAGGGTGCAAGAGGAGTCATTATTTTTCTGTACTTTGGTGTTTGAGGCAGCTTTGTTCAAATGTTATTCTCAAAAACCAGAGGTATCATATTCTTTAACATGCAAAAATATACACATTCTATAAAATATTATTACTAAAATGTCCGTAAATGCCATTCATCAATTTGGTTTTGATCTACGGTGGGTATGCTATTTATGCTTTAACTTGATAAATGGAATTTTTGTTGTTTTCCATAATCTTAATGTATGTAGCAATAAGTTTCATACAGATTCAAACTTGAATCATCAACTAGAAAGCTTTAAAAGGTAGGCATACCACTCTAAAACCAAAGCACAAATCATTTACAAGTCTTAATCCATAGGAAAAAGTTAATATTCATACAACCACAAGTTATAGATGAAAATTCATACAATAAAGAACAAAATTAAAGAGATTTTTTTTCTTAAATATTAGGGCATAAAATTGCAAAATACAAATAGAAGGGATGTAACAGTGAAAAACATCTAAGGGTAGGATATAAAACAAATCCTCTAAGCACAAAGGCAATACTCTAACAAAAGTGAGTATTTTAAAGTTAATCCTTAAAAGAACAAGAGGGAGGACTGGTCTAATAAAAAGGAAGAGAAGGATCTTTTAACATGTACAAAACAAATGGATCTATGGTCTTACTTTAGTGAGGGAGTTAAATAAATTCAAAATAGCTATGAATTTAAGAAAGTGGGATTCTTTATATTTAAGACATTTTTCATACCTGAAATATTAGTGGGTGCTCCAATTTCTTCAAACCTCACATACTCTCTGATCTTACTTCTTATAAGCTATATAAAGTTTTTCCTGACTTTAATTTTAAACATCTCATTATATGCAAAAGGATCCACAAATCACATGAATATGAATTATACAGAATAGATCTGGGCAAGCTAAGGAAACAATTTTCAAGCACTTTCTAAAAAGCAAGATCCTCAAGAGGTAGAAACAGTTAGAATAGTAATGAAGATCCAGGCTGCATCCATATGAAATTATTTCTAAAAATCACACCTTAAGACAGAAAGCATGTGTAATATTAGATCATGATTTTTGGTACAAGGAAGACAAACAGAAAATGATAAGGCCTTCTTCAATCAAATCAACTTCTGTCATGTGTTCTCTCTCTTACACACACACACACACACACACACACACACACATAAAGATTTGGTGAATATATTCATTCAACAAATGTTGCTGTCTGTATAACAGATACTATAGCTTCCCTGTATCTATACCTACTTTTTTTAGCCTCAAACCGAGAAGTCAACAGAAATGTCCTGGTCCTCCTGTCAAGCCTTCAAAGATATTGAACATTTCTATTCCATAAAAATTCAAAACATAAACTTGCCTAAAACCTCACGAAGCCCCAACCTCAAACTACTTCCTAAAACCTCAAGAAAAAAGTAGCAGCTTTAAAATTGATGAAAGAAACCTAAACTCCTTTTGAGATCATGTTACAAGTGGCAAAGCTGCATTCTATGGATGTAGGCCTTCTCTCACTTTTTTCTTAAGTTTCTATTCTAAACACCAGGTTTCTGGTCCTGCTACACTCTGTGGAGAATACAAAGATTTTTTTTTTTTTTAAAACTAACTTTTCTCTATATTACAGTTGTTTTTCAACTTAAGCTTAACTATTTCTTACAATGCTAGACTTTTATGTAATCATTTATGAAACAATTTTTATGAAGAAAATAATTTATAAGAAAATTATTATTTCTAAACTAACAACTCATGGGTAAAATGGCCCAACATCCACCCTCAAAATGTTGATGACCATACCAGTTTCCCCCAGCTTTTCCCACCGCATACTTACCTGTGCAAGTTCTTTCAACATTTGCTACTCTGGGGATTTGAAAGCTCAGAGCTGGAGGCTGAAGTGAAGAAGGAAAGGTTGGAGGGTGAGCCATGGCACCAGCCCCACACTAGGAGTTCCCCTGAGATATTACAGCAGGGTTGACACCATAGTTCTGAAGTTCAAACTCCAGCAAACGATAAGAAAGGAGTCCAACCAGAACATGATAAACGATGAAATTCTTCTGCTCTTTGAAAAATAAGGAAATCATGCTATAAAGATATGAAGGTCCATTTTCAACATTATGACTCCCTGTTCAACTGTTCACTATTACCCGACCCCAGAGTTATCTTTTAGATTGTATTAAAGAACAGAAAGCAGAGATCTCTATAAACCTGCACACTTTTCCAGACAATGCAACAGAGCTTACCTGGCCATCATGAAAACATCGTAAGACAATATGTTTAAATATTCTGGCTAACTGCTCCTTGTATAATCTCTTACTCTGCTGAGTATTCAACATTAAGTCTGAGGACTTCATACCTGTTAATGTCATCTACCAGGAGAAAAAAGTTGGGACTAGAGGGATGTACTTCCTAAAAATGAACCACTGAACTTACAAAAAGTAGGGATAACTCTGGTGGAAGCATATACCTTGGTAAGAAATTAAGTGTTTCATGCTGATAAAAACAAATGAACTGTTCCATTAGAGGGACAGTTTATCAAATGAAGTGATAAAAAGAAAAATGAAGATTTTTAAAAAACAAATCATCTGAAAATAGAATTTAATGTCATGTGCAATGAATTCCCCTGCCCTTTCTTTTTCCCAATGTCAGACTGAATATAGCCATTTGTGTATGTTAGGGAAGCATTCTACCACTGAGCTACCATCTTATGTCTTATTAACTTTTATAACCTCAGATACTCAATTATTTTTACTTCCCTTACTTAACATTACCCCTTCCCTCAACCACTTACATTTAGTTTTACTTCTTGTATCTTTTCTAACCTCACACTTTGTCTTTCACAAACCAATGTCATGTCATGTTAAATACACTAGAGTGTCTTATAATTTTGATGTCTGGTATTTCCTCAGACTAGATTGAGGTTATGTTTTTAATATAGTATCATAAATGTGCTATGACCTTGAATGAGTCACATGTGATGTACATATATTCCAATATTTGAGCAATGTATTAATATATCTTCAGATACTAACTTTGATGTTGGTTATGGTGGCATATTTGCCAATTTTTCCCAACATAGTTTTCTTTTTTTTGAAACAATTATAATAATGTTTTAGAGAAGTACTTTGAGAGCATGCAAATATCTACATGTTCTTAAATTTTTGCCTATTAACTATAGCACTGATCCAAGAATAACACCTCTGGCACCTATACGGTGGCATTCTAATGGTGATTTTCTTTCTCATTCCTTGTATAGGTTAACAGAAATACTTTTTAAAAATAAGTCCATGATCTGTAAAAAAACCTCTTAAATATGATGAACACAGAACAAACAGTATTTAGACCAAAGTGATATAGGGAAAAGCGATAATGGCTCAAATTCAAATTCAAAATTCTTTTGCACTCATTCTTTCAGCTTCATCATCGTGCTTTTGGCCTCGTAGAAAAGGTTTAAAATTTCATAAGCCCCAAGCATCCCCTTTTAGTGTTTCTGGCCATAAATTTAAAAACTTTTTTTTCCCTTGAAAAAGTATCTTTGTATAAACACTTTACAACACTAATTTATTGAGCCAAATTAAACAATAAGGATATAATACCAATGTACACTGAACACCACCCTATTTTATTTTGGTTTTGATTTTCTGATACAGGTTTTTTTTTTGGTGGTACCAGGGATGGAGCTCACAACCTTGAGCTTGCCACACAGGCTTGCTTAAGCCACAGAGCTAAATCCCTGTCCCCCTCAACTGGTTTTTGCAGTATTATCTAGGCTAAACTCAAACTTAATTGTCCTGCCTCAACTTCCTGCACTGAGGCTGAGTCCTCATGGGATTACATGGATGCACAACAATGCCAGTTAACACAGCTTTTTTGAGTGAAAACTACTAATTAGTAACACTATTATCTCATACAGGAAGATGACTGACTATTGAACTCATGGGGCTATTAGACTTGAGGGAATCTTGAGGGAGACAATTAGGATAAAACATTTGAAATAAACACATGAACTCCTTTCAGGGCTAACACATGGCTGGGATCTGTTCAGGCTCCTTCCAACAGGTACTCAGCACACTAAGAAAAGCACTGCCTCAGTAGTTGAAAAACTAGCTCTAATATAAAGGTTACTCAAATGGGAAAAAGACTACAAGATGGAAGGATGGGAGACGGAGCAGAGAGGAAGAGGATGCAAAAAAGAAATAAGATGTGTGAGGTACACGTAACAACTCCCCACACTAGTTCAAACACATACATGTCCACACACATACAAAAAGGAAATCTCAAAAGAATTAAGTATATCAAACACTAAGTAACTTAAATACTCACAAATTTCAAGAATTATCAGAAATAAATATATACAGAGTCCACCAAAAAATGTATACATACTTCAAAAAGAGAAACATTTTAATATTAAAATACTTTAATACTAAATTTACTAAATATTAAATTAATACTAAATTAAACATTTTAATACTACATTTTACTGATATATCATGAGATTAACACTAGTTACCTTTGGTGAGGATTCAAGTGGTGGCCATTACTTTTGAAACAATAATTATTTTTCTCTTCCTAAAGTATGTATATATTATTTTGGTGGACTCTGCATATTCCAATAAAATAAAGTCTCAAGGATTTGTAGCTAAATTAAAATCATTTGCTACTTAAAGCAATAAAATGCAACAGGTAAAAGGGAGAGAAAAACTGAAAAAAAAATCAAGAGAACACACAGTGTGGAATGACAGAAATGACACAAAAATTACATAGAGGATAGTTAGTACACAATAACATAGTAGAAGAATGGCATGCTGAAAAGATAAGCAAACTTGAAATCATAACAAGATTATTATTAAAAAAATTAGAAGAGAAAAAATGGATTCTATAAACAGCACTTCAGAGCACACTCATATATATGTGCAATTAGAATTGCCAGAGAACAGCAAATACAGAAAAAATATATAAAGAAGCAAAGGACAAAGAAGTTCCCAAATTTGTTACAAAACTATATGGACAAAATTTCAAGAAGCACAGCAAACCCCAAGTAAGAGTCAATGAAAAAGAATTAGACCAAGATAGATCACAATCAAAACTATCAAATATAAGTAAAACAAAACAAATTTAAAATAGTAGCCAAAGAAAAATACTATGTTCAGCAGATTTTTCAAAAGAAGTAATTCCAAAGACAAAAAAGTACCATCTTTAAAATTCTAAAAGAAAAACTGTCGACTATAAATTTCTTTTAAGAACAGAATATATTTATTGAGAGAAAGAAAACTGTCCAAAAGATAGACAGAAGGGGCCCCAAATGGGTTGCTGAGGACCCCACCTTTTGTGGGAATTTTTATAGAAGAAAACCACAAGGTAAGGCAAGCCTAAGGTGTAGAAAAATGGGAACTCACAACTATATATCTCTTTTTTTTTGTCTTTTTCCTTTTTATGGGTACCAGGGATCGAACTCACGACTGCCTGCTTGCAAGGCAGGTGCTTATGCCACTGAGCTAAATCCCCAGCCCAACTATATATTTCTTAAGCTTTTAAAAATGGGGATAAAACAAAGACATACAAAAATATTAAGTGTTCATCACAATCAGAAATGTATTACAAAAAAGTTTTTAGTTCTTTAGTTAGAAGGAAAATAATAACAAAGAAAGTAGAAAAATGAATCAGAAAGAAAGAAAGGAAATAAAAAAGGAATTAGGGAAGAAAAAGAACCACCAATGCTATAGTTGTAGATAATTATAAAATCAGAAATAATACTACCATTATCCCTCAAAATTACAAGAAACAAGATTATGTAAGTAGAAAATGTTTACTTTAGGAAGTAAAAATTTAACTGAGACCTATCAAACTATTAAAGAAATCAAAATGCTCCATTCAAAAATAATTAAAAATGCTGCATGAAATACTGATGCAAATATTTACTGTCTACTATATGCTAGATATTGCTTTTGAATAGAAATATAGTAGTGAATAAAACAGTTTAAATGTATTGTTGAGCCTGATAGGAATGAAGGGAAATTGAGCAAACATTTTAAGTATATAAACAAATAATTGGTACCACAGTAACATTCTGTAGCTACATTAGCAGTACATAAAAATCAACAGTGTCGTAGTGTGTTTGTCTTCCAAGCACTATGGGAGGCTGAGGCAGAAAGACGACAAATTTGAGTCCAGCCTAAACAATTTAGTAAGACTCTACCTCAAAATAAAAAATAAAAAGAGCTGGGAATGTAGCTCAGTGCAATGGCCCTGAGTTCAATGCCCAGTACTAATTGGGGGGGGGGGGGAAGACATGAGACAACACGTGACGGGGGCAGATAAAAGGTGGGATCAGCAACAAAATGGCACAAAGAAAAACTTGGTAAAACCTCAAAACATCTAAGATCAAGGGACAGTAAAATAGACCCTAAGAAACAAAGTAAAAGCACTAAAGATTAGTGATGAACACAATACAAAAACAAATTTAAAAAATATCTACAGGAAGTTAAAAGTTGATTTGTAGTAAAACTGATAAGTCCCTGGCATATAACAGAAAAATGAACATAGTAAGCAATCATAAGAATGAGAAGCATTTTGCAGAGAAAAACTATATTAAATAGTAGCATACTTTATCTTAATAAAACATACCTAAAAAATTTCCTTATTAAACATATCTAATAGTTAACAACTTAAAGCTTTCCTTGTATAACAACAGATTATTATTAACATTTCTTTTCTACTTTGTATCAAAAGTATTAGTGAGCAGAAAAGAAATGCAAGGCATAAAAGCTGTAAACAAAGTTTCAAAAGTGTCATTTCCAAATCATGTTTACATACATGAAAAAAAAATCCTTTTTCAAAAAAGTTAAGCTACCCTGATAGATACAAAAAGCCAATTTAAAAGGGTAACCTACTTTTATTTAGCAATAGCCCTATAAAATACAATCTTAAAAAATACCATTTACAACTCTTACCAAAAAAATCAACAAGAAAGTACTGCAGCATAAATTCAACTGAAGATCTGCAGTATATTGTTAAAAAATATAAAACTGGGCAAAAGTACAGAAGACCTCAATGTATAAATTC